GGATTCGTTCCAAGTGAGCGAAGAGGCTCGCTTCGGAGGGAACGGTCAGTCTCCCTCCTCCTGCTCCTCTCTCCCTTCCGCTCCCTTCCCCCCCCCCCTTCCCCAGTTCCTCCTTCATGTTGTTGACGCTCCAACTCCCTCCTTGTTTGCTTCCTACTACTACGGCGTCGTCTTCCCCCTCAACCCCGCTGCCCCGTCCTCCCCCTATCCCCCTCCACCTCTCTCTCTCCCTCTCCTCCCTCCTTGCAGCAATCTTTCCGCCCTGACGCTATCGAGAGTAACTTTCTCATGCAGACACCAGACTGATGGAACTCGCGGACCTCGAAGTTCCATCCTCCTCCCCGCATGCCAGGCAGTGTCTCTCCTCCTCCTACATCCCCATCAGGCAGGGTGAGACGAGCTACGTCGTCGTCCTCCCAGTCCACAGCAGATATCAACGTCCTTCCACCTCCCAGACGTCCCGTCCTGTCCTCGTCCCTGCTCCTCTGCTGAGCGTGCACTGCCCGGGGCAGGCAGCGGTGTCTCTTCCTACCTCAGTGAAGAAGCAGCAGCAGCACCAGCGCGAGGAGGAGGATGAAGATTCTTTCCTGCGCTGGCAGATCCCTGTCGGAAGAACAGGCGACCTCGGCCTCACCATCGCCTTCACCCTCCTTATCACGAGCGTCGGGACGACGTTGGCCATGGCGGTCATGGCGCGCCCACTAGGGGCCTCGGACGTGGTGAGGAGGATCGTCAGGGCATGAGAGGAGAGTAAAGTACACCTTGTTGTATCACGAGCAGGAAGGGAGAGGAGGAGAGGAGCTGCAGGAGGAAGGGAGGAGCACCTGGGCAGGTGGGAGCGCTCACGGGACTCCTGCTCCTCCTGATCTCTTGCCAATCCCCGTCACCTTGAGCGTTCCGTCTTTGGTGAGGACAGCAGTGCACGAGTCCATGGAGATGTATCCGCCGTTCCTCAGATTCTGCGGTCACGATGTGAGGAGTAGGAGGAGAAGGAAGTTGTGGTGGCTGAAGGAAAGCAGAGAAAGGACCGGGGGGAGGTGGTCAGGATAAGTTGCTAGAGGAGATGATGATTATGAGGAGAGGTAAAAGGACCTTGGCAAAGTAGGTCTGAGAGACGTTGAATGTGGCTGACGGGTTGTTGATGGCAAACGTGTTGCCCTGAGCCTCGGGGAAGATCCGCTTGAAAAGCTCCTCGTCCACGTTGGCGGAAGATGCAGAGATGTTCCTCGGAGCTGCCTTGACGTCTACAAACCAGTGAGAGGAGGAGACACAGGAAACCAGGAAGTGGACAGAGGAACGCGAGGGGCAGAGCGAGGGTGGTTCGAGGAGGAGGGCAGTGGGAACGAGAACGAGCAGCAGGAGGAGGAGAGGGGAGGAGCTGGAGAGGTGGGAGGGAAACTAGAGCAAGAAATGAGAAGCATCAGAAGCTCACGTGGCAAGTGAATGATCTGTTCTCTTAGCGCCTTCGCCAGCGCCTTCTTGACCGTCTTGACCTGCACCTCACTCTGCTGGTGCTTCTGCTGCGTCTCCTGCGCCATGCGGTGCCCCTGCCTTGCCTTGTCGTCCCAAAGTCTCCCGATCTCCTGGATGAGCCCAACGCAGGTCTCCACGCACTCCCTGTACTCCCGAGCATGCGCGAGCAGCTCGTCGTCCTTCCTCGACTTCGCCATCCTCCGAAGTTCATGGCAGAGCCGCCGGTCGGCCTCGTCCCCCTCCAGTCGTTTCTGCAAGCTCGCAGCAGCGTCGATCGCTGCCTCTAACTCCTGCGACTTGTCCATCGCCCCAGCACGCAGGACAGCCCCGTACTTGCGGTTGAAGACTTCACACGAGGCCAACACCCGTCTCAGCTCGTCGAGGTCCTGCAGGTACGCTGCTCGCCGAAGCTTCTCCAGCACCACCCCTGACTCATGCGCTCCTGCCTGCAGCGTGAGGGATCGGGAGATGTGGGTGGCCGACTGTAGGCAGCTAGAGAGCTCCTGGAAGGACTGAGCGAGGTTGTCGGACGTGTCATACTGCAGGGCCTCGGGGGAGTAGTGAAGCTTCTGCCCCGGCTGCACTTTGCGCTGGACCTCCTCGATGAGCAGCCGCAGAGGCTCTTCTGCTCCGTCGTCAACAGCCTGCCGCAGCCTGTTCGAGTAGTCCTGCATCTCCCACAAAGCGACCTCCCTCATCTGATCAGCGTAGATCTCACTCTCCCGCGCGTATCGGTTCGCGTCCTCCCTCGCCGCATGCTCCCACCGCCTGTGGAGATCGCTCTCGCAACCAGCTCGATCCCACTCGGCCCTCGCGTGCCTCCCTGCCTCTCCTGGATTTCTTCCCTCGGCTTTCGCCTGGTCCATGCAGAACTCTTTGTACATGATGTAGGGCGAGCGAGCAGGTTCCGGCGCCTTGGGCTCGGGAGGCTTCGGTCCCATGCTTGACCATCGCGGGCGCTTGTTCAGCTCGTCGTGATAGGCATGTCCATGAGGCTCCAGCTGCAGCTCATCCATCCTCCGCTTCCCGCTGTCCATTAGGACGGACGAGGCTCCTCCCATCATGGGATCTCGCTGCGACGCGAAGAGAGCGTGCGCAAAGGAGCCCGGGCCCGGAGCAGGACCGAGCATGTTGTTCGAAGGGTTCGGCTGCGGCGGCATCGCGTGGTTGAAGCCAAAGGGAATCGAGGGGAGATTGGCACTGACACTGAGAGGAAGGTTTGGGAGGATGGGGCCGTTGGAGCCGCCCTGCCATCCACCGTATCCGCCTTGAGCAGAGGGGCACGCCTCAAACTTGAGAGAGTTCGTCCCTGCTACTGCTGAAGATTGTAAACTTGCAAAGGCCGCTGGAAGGTTGTCCCTGGCCAGGTTGACAAACTCCGCAAGCTTTTCCAGGAGTCCCAGGATCTGAGGAGAAGGTGAGAGGAGGGGAAAGAAGAGGAGGGAGGAGGGAGGAGGGAGGAGGGAGGAGGGAGGAGGGAGGAGGGAGGAGGAGAAAGCTTCACCTGTCTCCTTTCAGTGGGTGTGAAGTTGGGGCTACAGATTGAAGACGGCATCAGCATTCCATTCTGCCACAGGTACCAACCTCATTAGGTAGGGGGAGCTCTAACAAGCGCACGAGGACGAACCTGGAGGTGAAGCTTCCGCAGCCCATCTACATCTATCAGCTCCCACCTGCAGCAACTCTCAGAACACCGTAGGATTCCAACGACAAGCCGAAACCTGCTCTCCTTCCTCTTCTTCTTGAGCCACTCCCTCACGGACCCATCGGGGTAGTAGGAGGCCGGAACCTCTCCTACTTCGACGAGGTTCTCTGATATTCCTGCGGTCCTCCTGATGTTCCTCCATGACGGGGATCCCCCCTGACTCCCGAGGAAGTCAACAAGCGGCTGGATGGCCACGAAGGAGCGCTGGGTAACTCGGCTCTCGAGTACAGGGGGCACGTACGCCGAGATGATGGGGAGGCGGTGAGCGCCAACTGAGAAGGAGAAAGGAACAAGTCGCAGCTCTCTCCAATGGTACTTCCTGTAGGACAGGTCCATCATCCCGTCGTCTGCGTCGACTCGTCCACTCCGATCATGCGAGCCGTCATGCACAACGTCGGTGTCGTGATCCATGCCTCCATGGTGCCCATCGACGTCGAGGCCGCCAGAAGCATCTACGTGTTGTCCCTCGAGAGAGACGGGACCTGCTCCTCCTGCCTCCATCTCTTGTTCAATCTTCTTCCTCACACCCTACCATCCACAAGCTCCCTGGCCTGTTCAAATTGTCAATGGCGGGAACACCCAGGGTGCGATGGGGCGGCAGAGCAAGCACAGGCAGTGACAAGGAGCGGTCAAGGGAGCATGGATGTTGTCTTGTCGCATCATCTTCATCGTCGTCGTGTCATCATTATCAACATCAACCGCGTACACATGTAGCGACGTACTGACCTGGTCCCCTCCCACCATGGTGCCCTGTCTCTGAGGCGGATTGTTCTTGAACAAACCCTACCCCCATGACCCCTTTCATCCAGGAATATGGCATGACACCCCTCCCTTTGTCACAAAATTATCCTAGAAGTGACCCGGTAATGAAACCCATTTATGGACCCCTACCCCCTGCAGAAGGTCAGCTAAAAACGATGTACAAAGTTGTACTGGCATCCTCTTTGTACCCAAATATCAAATACTTATAACTGTTTCATATATACTTTTAAACTGATACTAATTTTTATCATATATATTATCTTATTTAATTATGTTGTAGCAAATGTTGGAAGTATATATTCAAAGTAACAGAATTCATCGTACATAAATATTAGTATTAAAAAACAAACATTACAAATATTAAAACAAATTTTTATGTTTACAAGTAGAGAGATCAGCGGAAGACGAGCTCCGCGATCAGCCATGGAGGTAAGCGGGAAGGAACGGGGGAGGGGACTGGGCGGAGGATCAGGAGAAGCTGGGGGAGATTAGGAGGAAGAAAGAATTTTATGTGGGAGTGAGGCAGGAATGGTGAGCATAACATGCGAAATACAACACATTAGACCAGTTCAGCTTTGGTTCCCTGTATTGAGACAAAGGTTGTAATGAGCCTATTTCCCACTTCAACACCATAGTCGATGCGATGAGCGAACAGAAGACTTGACCTTTCTGTATGAAACTATTTGTTGTTGCTGCCTCCATGCACATGGTTGATCTCGTGAATTCTGCTACTCTATCTCAATTTGGGAGAAAAGGTGTATCCTGTGAAACGTTGAAATGATCGCAATTTGTTGCGTTTTGACACAGTCAGTCACCTGTGTTCGCTGCCTCTGATCGCACAAAACTCACTCAGTCTAAAAATTTCTGTTTTTCACCCAAGAATACTTGATGCCACCAGGCAGTCTCTGACAAATTCTTCCCTTGTGAAACTTCTTCAATTTTTTTCTGAATGACAATTGTTGCAGTACGACGATGGGACTAAGGCAAGAGCAAGAGACGGATCCGCGTTGCTTGTGGGTCCTGTCCTCTATGCAACCAACAAGTGATATTCATCATCTATGCTTTTGGATGCAATCTTGACTCGCTGTAAGGCACATTGAGGAGAGCTGCAATCTGTGAACAAGTTCTTCATGCAGTGCAAGCAAGATGATAGAAATCCCAGTGAGTATTGTCTGTTGATCGGATGGATTTCCTTCATTTCACTTTCCAAAACTTTCATCAAACTGCTGTCTCTCTGAATTTATTCTGCCTTCAGGATCTTGTTTGAATCAAGGCAAGGAGGTCATTGATTGTGTCAATAGAGTGAGTGTTGTATGGCGTGTTGGTCTGGCTGACATGACTTCTCAGGTAGTGCGCAGTGTCGATGCAAAATGTCCAGCTCAGCTCACGGCATATGCTCGTTGTATGGATAAAAACCACTGCCATTTTGAAAAGGTATGTTTGCTTGCTACTGCTGCACTTGTGTTGCATAATAGGGTATGACGATGGTGTCACAGTGTCGTGAAGAGCAAGCAGCCTTGGAAAGTTGCATGCCGCTCAACTGAGCAAAACTAAATGGATCTGTTGGAGTTTCTTCGGCAGTGGCATGGCATCGTCAGGAATGGTCTACATCGCCCAGGCGGCACCTGCTCAAACATGCACGGATCGAGTGAGCGAGCCTACAACATTACTTCAATCATGGAACTCGTATAGATGTTGTTCGAGTGTCGGATTTGAAGCACCCCATCTTTTGCTTGTCACATTTTCTTTTCTGATAAGTGAATTTAGCTGTTTTCTACAAGGGTCGAGATGATCTGATCGAAGAGACATGTCGCGCGTAACCTTGATTATGACGTATTGAGCTTCTGAGACCGTCAATCTCCTCCTCCACCTCTTTACACTTGTTCTGTAGGGACGTTGACTTCAGTTGGCTTTCATGGGCCCGAGCTTCAAGTGTAGTCCTTCGCAAGTCCAAACGTTTGAGCTTGAGAGTGCACAGTCTGATCCTTTCCTTTACCTGCTCAGACTCGCTCTCCACAGACACGATAGTGTGCTCTGCAGAGTCAATGTCCTCCATCAACCTCTTGTTGGCCTGTTCGGTCTGGCTGACCGAGGCCTTGCACGCATCGTGCTCGCTCCGAACCTCATGAGCTTTGGTTCGTAGCTCGTCATGCATGCTATCACAATCTCTTGCGTGTAGTTCGTTCAAGCCCTTGTAAATCTCAGCAAACCGACCCTTCACTTGACTTGTTCTCTGTTCGTGCTCCAACTCCAGCATCCCACGTTGAAATTCGCTCATGCATAGCGATGCTCGCAGACGATCGCAGTCCTGTTGCAACTCTTTCATGATGAGTTGGAGCCTTCGTATCTGCCATGCATGCTCCTCGCCCACTAGCTCATCGTCCTCGTCCTCGTCCTCGCCATCGGCTCGCGTCCCTGCTCTCCTCGATTCGCACACCTCCATCATCAGTCCGTTGAAAGCACCATCAACCCTACTACCCCTCCATACAAATATTTTCTCACCCCAACTCGAACACAAAAACTGCCCTTAGACTTATCACCCCCTCCATGCAGAAGCAAATCCCTACAAAACAAGGGGATCAAACACACCATCATGTCAGATAACCCCTGTTCAAAGTACCCTACCCCGGTGTACCAGCAAGGAGCTGAGCCCGCATCCCTACTACGGGCTGGCGGCGCAGACTCGGCGGCCCCCGGCCCCGGGCCGCCCGCCGGCGGGCCGGGCGGCGGTGCCGCTGCACTGCGAGCGGCGCAGTGCCGGACTCGGCGTCCGGGGCCGGCGGCCGCTATGCCTGCGGGGGCGGCCGGCGGCGTGCGGCCGCCAGGCCCGCGTGCGGCGGCGGGCCCGGTCACCCGGGCCCGGTGCGGCCGCCCGCCGCAGGCCGGCCGGGGCCCGGCCCGCGGCTGAGCCCAGGCTCCGGGAATCCTGAGTGCGGGGCCCCAGTGGCAACCTGGACAGTACAGTACTACGGTACCGGCGGTTAGAATTTATTATCCTGAGACCGTGGCACGCCGGGTGAAACTTCAACTTGATTAAACTTTTGCTGCGGCCCTCTGTGCCGGCTCCCGGGTCGGTCAGGGCCTTCGGAAGGTACGGCCCGGTCTGTGCCACTGAGCGGCCGGCCCGGCCGGTCCGACTGCGGCGGCCCGGCCCGGGCCTCCGAGCGGCCCGGGGCCCGGCCGCGCCCGCCGCGGGAGCCTGCAGTGCGGCCGGGCGCTCAGGCACTGAGTGCCCGGCCCCCCGGCGCTGAACTTCCCGGCGAAAATTCAATCGCCCCGCCGTTTGAACGGTCAAGTTGGTAAGATCACTGCACTTTGATCAGCCGCTGAGCCGCATGCCATGCCGCCATGATGACCCGGCGTACAGTCACGACGTCTCCTCACCGTCACGAGCCTGTTGCGCCGAGCCTCGCCTGGAGTTGTCTTCGAGGCTCTGCAGGCCTTGTGCAAGCCCTCCAGGTGCGAGGAACCAGCGGGAGAATGGTAGGCAGCGCTTAGGAGGTCCTAGAACCTCCTACGAGCTGGAAGGAGCAACAAAAAACGTCAATGGTTGCCAGCTGGGGATGTGGTGGGGAATTCAACCTTGTCTCTGTATCTCTCGGCGATCTCGAGCTCTGTCATCTGGCAAAGAGTCTCACTGATCTGCTGGAAAAGAGCTGGGCAAGGCTCGAAAGCTACCTTAGATCCTTCAACCTTCCTGTCGGACCTCACAAGCTCGACGGTGTAGACGCGCTCGAGCACTGGCAGAGGGTGAGGAGGAGGCGAGCAGAGGCGTGAGAAGGTACCCTGCCCCCCAGACGAGGTCTGCTGCACTGCCGCTCTCTTGAGGGTCATACTAACTGAGAAAGGAGATGAGAGGTAGACGGCCAACAAGGAGACAAGAAGAGGGACGAGGAGAAGAGGGGGGGAGGCGCGGGAGGGAGGAGCTAAGGAGCCAAAGAGAAAGAGGAGCGGAGGCGTGAGCTACCTTTGGAGCCTCTTGGGCCGAGCACGGCGTCTGCCAGCTCCTGGGGCGTCATGTCGACCACAGCGTTGCCTGCATCAAGTTGACCCTGCGTTCACTCGTTGGCTGCTCGTCACCTCCGACAGCCAGCAGGATGTCTCCTTTCTCGACATTCCCCTGCAGAAACGAATGGGAACGTCAGTCCAGTCCATGAGCTGCTGCTGCTGCTGCATGGGAGGGAGAGGGAAAAGTTGGATAGGGTGAGCAAGAGCGAAGACCTCGATGCTCGCGGGAGATCCAGGTATGATCGTTGCCACCTACAGAGAAGCTCTTAACATGCCGCGCGGAGGAGGAGGCGATCATACTTCATACTCCCTGAAGCTATTCTTCTTGACCATGATCCCAACCCCCTCCATCCTGACATCATCATCACTCACGCTCAACCCCAACAGACGCGTTGACCCACTTCATGACTCGACGGAGAGCTACTTTAGCCTCGTTCATCAAGGTTGGGTCAACCTGCAACATCATCACAACCACTGCAATCTCCCTCCTCCTCTTGCTCCCCCTCCTCGTCTTCGTCCTGGTCTTCCTCGTCCTCTTCCTCTTCCTCTTCCTCTTCCTCCTCTTCGTGTCTCAAAACTTCACCGGCTCCGCGTTGAATCCCAGGTTGGCGAAAGGAAACATGCTTCTCTTGAGCTGTAAGACTCTTTACACAACCCCAGGAAAGGATCGAGGCGAACAAACCTGACGTTTGTCTTCATCAAGCAACTCGATTCTTGTCAGGTCGTTGCGAAATTTCGCCTGGGGAACTACATGAGGCCGGCTTCAAGTTCCCCTCGCTCCCTTCTCCTCATTCCCAACACCAGCGTTCTCTCCTGTTTCTCCCCTCCTCTCAACTTCCTCATCCCTTCTCCTCATCTATCTTCCCTCTTCCCTTCTCTGTTAGCCTTCCCTTCCCCCCCTCCATTCCCTGCTCGCCCCTGCTCACCTTGTACCACTTCGCCAGGATCCGACCGAAGTGTGGTTCCTGCAGGCGGGAGGGTCACCCGGGATGGCATTGCAGGAGGACTCACAGAAAAACTTGGCTCCTTCTCGGCGAAGGGAAAATTCTTAATGAACTCCGAGTAGAGCTCCCGGAACGTGACGTTGCCTTGGTCGGTCAACCGACAGTTGGCAAACGCTTCAACGCAGTACGTCAGGATCTCCTTCACTTCCTTCCTGTCGTCCTGAGGTGCTGCAGACCTCTTCGACTTCCCTGCGCTCATCCCTGCATCCTTTCCCTTCAACATCTTACCCTTCCTGGCCTTCCCTTCGCTCCTCTCCTGCTTCGCCTTCACCGCCTGCCCACCACTCTTAGCGGATGAGCGAACGACGTTCAGTCCCAGCTTGGCAAAAGACTTGTCCATCTCTTTGTCGTAGAGCGCCTGGACGGTGCGGAGGGGCGTCAAGTCCGACTCAGTGTAGTGCGGGTTGATGAGCGACATGCCGATATACGAGCCGCTCCTGCTCTTCTTCAACGGCTTCCCCGTCTTGGTCTCGTACCAGGCCTGGATGCTCCGCCCGAGTGTCACGTTGGGCAGGACGTCCTCGGAGGCGAAGGAGGGGAACTCCTCTCTGAAGACTCTGCTGATGGTAGCGAACCTCACACGGCCCTTGAGCCGCAGCAGACTGCTGGCAAACGCCTCAAACGCTCCATTGACTTGCGACACTTTGAGCGGAGCTGGAGAGTCTCCTGCGAGGAAGAAGAAAACTCATCAGGTAAGACAAGGAAGATGGCGCAAGAGAATGAGGAGAAGAACTCGTTGTCTCTTCACCTTTCTTGCTCTCGGCTGCCTCCTTTCCTCCTTGATCCAAGTCCGTGACAGCAGTCTCTGCATGGCAACGCTTACAACATGCAAGTTGGCAGGAGATTAGGACCTGTTGAACCTTGTGACATGAGCAGAGAGCAAACTCTTCTTGCAGGCTGAGATGCTGCAAAGGAAAACTGAAAGGATACCATCAATCAGTCGAAAGCTCTCCACTCCTAACCGCATCCTCCTCTGCCCTCCCCCTCCTCCCCCTCTCTTCATTCTCACTGGAATTTTCAGTATGTTCTCACCGCAGGGCTGCAGATCCCCGAGCAGCGAACGGGATGGCGCGGGTGCAGGGATGCAATGCCGCCAGCATGGAGGAGAGGACTGAACCCATCGGCAGGATGAGGAGCCAGAAGGAGAGACAGAACAAGGAAGCTAAGGCTCAGAGGGGGGGAGGAGGAGGAGGAGGAGGAGGAGGAGGAACGAGCGGGGGGTGGAGGAGGAGCGCCCATTCCCTGCATCTCTGATATAAGCGCCTTTAGACTTGCTTACCTTCTCCATGTGGGGGTAGTCCCAATAGGTTGATGGGGGTAGTTGTTGGGAAAGGTGGGGTAGTCGAGACTCCTTTATGACAAAAATTGAAGCCGACCAGGGTCAGGGAGAGCCAGGGAAGCGATGAGGAAGAAGAGGAGGGTAGAGGAGGCGGGAAGAGGAGGAGGGGAGGGGAGGGGAGGCAGAGAGGGAGGCAGAGAGGGGAGAAGGGGAGGGGAAGAGGGGAGGGGATGTGGGGGAGGGAGGACAATTCGTGGGAAGGGGGAGAGGTAGGGGGAGGACGGAAGAGGTGTGAAGGAGGAGGGAGGGTGAGGCGAACACCACAGTTGATCAGATGAAAGGTCCTCTACCTTTCCCTCATCACTCAAGTGCTGAATCGTCGAGAGAGGACACAACGTACTACAAAGAACAAAAATTGAAGCCGACCAGGGTCAGGGAGAGCCATGTGGCGATCGATGAATGGGCAGGACAGGACAGGACAGGACAGGACAGGACAGGACAGGACAGGACAGGACAGGACAGGACAGGACAGGACAGGACAGGACAGGACAGGACAGGACAGGACAGGACAGGACAGCCAAGGAGAGGGAAGGACAGCCAAGGAGAGGAAAGGAGAGGAAACGTGGCCATTTAGAGTGGGGAGAATGACAACAGGATCACGACTGGACCGAAAGCAAAAATGTCAGAAGGAAGGAGACGACGGAAGATTAGGGAGGGCAGGAATAAGCTATGTTTTCACTTGTCATTGAATAATAAGAGGACGCTCAGAGCAGCAGCAAAACAACTCTACACATTTGCAAGTTTTGTCCCACATGGCATAAGATCGGCAGGTGAATCGGAGGCAGAACTAGGAAATGGAGGAATCTAGGCAGGAAGAATGTTCATACGATACATGGTAGGGGATTAGAGGAGATTGAGAAGGAAGGAGTGACTTCTATAGGGCTACCTTGTCTCCTCTGACCTGCTACATCTGCGAGTTTAGGAGAAGAGGCTGGAAGTCAGGCATGGCTGCTCATGTTGGAACAGAAGTAGCAGAAGCCGACTAAGTCACTCTGAGTGTTCAGGTGACGGTGATATTGACTGATAGGTGTAATGAATCTCTCTGAATACCTCTGCTGATCTCATCGGCTATGCCCGATTCCCTGCTGCTGCACAACTGCCCTTGCAGAACTCCGAAAGCGGGGCTGCTGTCCAGTCAGCCTCCCTCCACAGCCGGGCAGCATACCCACACTGCACTCGCATGTCCTCTGCTCGAGCCCTCTCCCGTCCGTGGTTAAGATTCTGAAGTTTCAAGCTCAAGAGGGCCATCATGAATCGATGAGAAGAGACGAAGAAATCGCCTTCGATTCCTGGACGGACTTGTTCTGATCTTTATGGAGATGGATCTGAAGGGCGGTACTCTGAAGAGATAGAACTTTTGCATAAGAGTGCATCGCTCAAAGATGAATGTGAAAGAATGGAGCGATCAAAGATGAAAGCGACAGATTGCTCAAAAATCACCTTGAAACACCACAGAGGTGTCATTGAGTTTGAAACTCAGGAACTCGAACAACGCGAAATAGCATTTTACCGAGGCAACTATACAAGCAGTGCAATAGCAGGGCCCTGGGCTGGTCGGGAAGAAGGAGGTTGGTGGCTCCTCTCAGCAAAAAGCAACTCAGGTGTTTATCTTTGACAGAGACCCTTGTACTGTTGTGAGTAAGGCCGTAAGGTCTGTGACATAGACCCTTGTAGGTCTAGAAGCGTTGAAGGCGAGAGGGACATGACTAGATAGAACGTGGAGAAAAGGTGCGTCATAATGCATTTATTTCCGCCTGTCTTACGTCAATCCGGCATCTCGAGGCCTGCAGCAGCCAAGTCTGTCTGATCAGTCCTCCCAATCATGGAAAACGTAGCGCGATTTTGATCCCTTGGGTCCCTTCACCAATAACAATCAGCTGCCTGTAGGTTGCAAGGCTCTCAGCCCATCGACCAATGAGAGCTATAGCAAGAGCGAGGGCTCGTTGACCTCATTGCTCACGAGCATGTTCCAGCAGGTTAAACGAGGTTGGCAGGAAAGGAAGGAAGGCCCGTCGAATTAGGGAAGGTCTGAGGCTGGAAGAGGAGGCGAGGATGAGGAGCGGAGCATAATCGAACTCAGAGAGGCAGAGGAGGCTCTCCAGGGCTCCTCCCTCCCCTCATGTTTCTACAGCTCAGCATGCGCGGCCATTGTTGAGCGACGCAACTGCGACTAGCAAACAGGTCACGGCCGGTACGAACGCTGTTTAAAACTATTTACAACACTTACATGCTTTTAAAATCACTGAAAAAAGGTAATTCAAGTTCCTATAACTATTTTATATAACTTTTAACCGTTATTGTACATATTTCGTTACAAGTAAAATGACATCTTCGATAACCCGTCCTCTCCACATCAATTTATGGGGTGGTCATTTTAAGACACACTGGGTCTGCACGAGATCCGTCCCAAGGGGTAGTAGTGTCAGTTACAGTGGGAAGGGGGGTCAAGTAGACTATAGGGGGTGGTGGAGTGTACAATAGAGGGTGGGGGTTCCCGTCAGTACTCACGTGCTTTTAATACAAAGCAAGGTACCCCACCCCCTTTGATTTGTTGTTGACTACCCCGCATGCCCCCCATTTTGCATGGTTAATCTCCAGGTGGGTACCCTTTACAACCCCCTGTGGGGATATACGACCCTCCGATTTTGAAACCCACCCCACCTACTCAGACACATATGACCCCACCCCACTTGCTCAAATAACCAACCCACCCCTTGACTGGTCCAGTCCTACCAGCGCAAATTCTTGTACCACCGTACTGAAGTCCTGTACCCACCCCACCCCTTACAGCCAAATCTCGTGTAAATGAAGGATACCCTCTCATCGCCATGGATCCATTTTTAGAATCTTTCCAAATATTCTATGACAATTTCAAATTAACATTCAAAGATTGTGTTTTCAGTGTTGAAAGTTTGTCTTGAAAAGGTCTTTTGCAAGGCTATCAGCTACTACCCCCTTCGCGGTCAAACCCAAAAAGGACCCTACCCAGCTTCAATCGTAAAACACAAAGTAGTACCCACCCTTGCAATATCCCGTACCCCCCACCCCCCGTGGGTGATCTTTTCCCTCTCGCATCCCTCTACTTCTTGCTCACTGCAGCAGAGGAGGCCACAGCAGGGGAGGGAGGACGAGGACACGGTGGAGGGGAGGGAAGAAGATGGGATGATGAGGAGAGGAGGGAGAAGATGAGGGGGCTGTGATGAGAGCAGGCGAGAGCGGAAGAATCAGAGGCTATCATGAGGAGCGACCGGCAAGACCTGGTTGAGTTGATGACCAAGACAGTGCGCAGACAAGTCGAAGAGAGCGAAAGGAGAGTAGATTTTCGTGGACGAGTAGAAGTCGGCTATGATGATGATGGAGTTCAAGACGGCTGTATGTGCAAACTGTGTGACAGTGTGCGGGTCGTCTACTGATTATGCTTACAGGCGTCACAAAGTTTCATTTGACCTGAGCTACTCGTTTCGTACGGACGGGGGTGCTGCAAGGCTTAATTCGCTTTGTGGCTGAGAAAGACCCTTTGAACTTGATCAGGTGATGATGAATGAAGTCTGAGTTGGATGCATATGGTTGAAAACGTTGTCTTGGGGCTTCATGATGAATGATGTGCTGCTCTATGTAGTGTTTCAAATCAAACACCTCTCATCATGAACTTGTTTGTGCTGTTGGGGGCTCTGTTCCTCATACCCTCAAAATTCCGTCATGAGTGTTTCTTGATCAAAACGAAACACGTAGGCGCTGTCGTGGCACCAGCGCGATACAAGCTAAAACACGGCATTCTTTGCCTCCCCATTCTCATTCTTCAGGTTCTTCATGTTGTCTGTGTCGATGACAAAGATCAACATGGAAGTGAGCCTGAGCGCCTTTCCTGACGCCTCCTCAGGTTAATCCCTGCGCAAGGAGTCCGTGCACCCGTTCGTTCCGCGCTGTTACCCGCCGAAGTTTAAACATCTGTCAAGACAATGACCGACTGGATCGCCCTGTCTTACTCCCTGACCATCATTTGTTTGGTGGCGATTGCAATTTATGCAATCATCTACACCAAGTTCTTCACACAGAAGAACGAGAATGTGAAGCACGTTCTGGAGACATCTGAAGGCTTCATCACTGCCAGGAAAACACAAGGCATGTGGAGGATCGCGTGGAGCTTCTACGCTGGAAGTGTTGGTTCTTGGGTCATCACCAGTACCGCAAGCTATGCCTCGTATGCAGGTTACCTGGGCGTGATATTCTATGCCGTTGCTACAGGCATTCCCATCATCATGCAGGCATATTTTGGTGACATTGTGCAAACTAAGTTTCCGAATGCAAACTCCTTGGGTGATTTCATCCTGCTGCGATTTGGGCCCACTGCGAAGTTGGCAACCATCATCGTGACTCTCATCAACATGTCAATCTTCATGCTCGCTGAGTTCACAACTGTCGGTGGCCTGTTCAGTGACTTTGTTGGTTCTGTGAGCTACCCGATCATCATCATTGTTGCAGTTCTCACCACTGTAAGCCAAAAATCTTTGAATTTATTCCCTGATTGACCGTTGAGTTGGCAGATCTACACGGTTTATGGTGGTTTGCTGGTATCGATCGTGACAGATCAGGTTCAGGGTATCATCAGTGTTCTCCTCACGATCATTCTCACCATCTACGTCGCTGCAACATTTCGTAGAGATCTCCCTGCAAACTTTGGTCCGTATGAGCCGATGCTTGGTCCGAATCTCTCAGGCTACAGCTCCATTTTCACCATGCCGATATCTCTTGCCGCCGCTACAGTCTTCAACGAAGGCATGTGGCAAAGAGTTTGGGCAGCTGAAGACCACACAGCTCTCAAAAGAGGAGGCATCATCGCCTGCTTTGCAATAGTGTTTGTTGTGTTCATCTTTGGTTTCGGTGGACTCCTTGCTGTGTGGGGTGGGTTGGTCGATTACGAGAATACCAATCCCAACCTATACATCTTCCAGCTGTTCAAGTCAGATCCGTCAGCGCCGAATGCTCATGTCGAGAACTTCATTGAAGTCTTGGTACTGGTTCTCGCGGCTGTGATGAATGAGTCGGCCATCGACAGCTTGCAGAACGGTCTGGCTGCGACCATCTCATCACATTTCCTGCGAGGGAAGCCTTTGCTGTGGGCCCGTATCTGTGTGCTGCTCATCAACATTATCATCGTGCCATTTGCTCTGGCGAACTACAGTGTTCTTTCCATCTTCCTGCTCGGCAATATGCTGGGAGTCTGCTGGTTCCCTCCTGTCATAATGGGAGGTATCTGGGACAGTGAGCTCGGGAAACGTGTAGTCTGCGAGTCGAGCATGCTGTTCGGCGGCGTCATCGCCGTGATCGCCTCCACTGTCTATGGCATCGCTGCTGGCCCTTCCCAATGTATCCAGATGTGGAACGACGGAGCACTGTATCCGCCTGCTCCCGACATCTGCAGTTGCGCTAGTGACGCGGCTTTGTACAATTTGACCAACCCAGGAGTGAATTGCGCAACAGCTGGCGCCTACTGGACGTGGCTGGGACAGCCCTACATGTGGCAGTACTTCCTTATTGCGCTCGGTGTGTGGCAAACTGCTTTGTGGGGGGTGACTGATGCTGACTACAGGCGTCTCGACGGCTGGAACTCTCGCCTTCGGCCTGTTGCACGAGCTCTTCTACAGGTTGAACATCCACTTCATGGGGGTCACAGAGCTCCTCCTCAAGGTCCCCGGATACGCGGAACTTGCTGGCCTCACGGTAGATCACGCTGAACTGCAGAGGAAGCAGGATGATGATGCAGCGAAGCCGCAATTCAACGGCGACGATCAAGGCATGCAGCAGGTGAATGGCTCGCAGGACTCACAGATGTTCATGGCTGTGTCCCCGAGCATTCCTGTCGTGCATCCGTACCCAGCCGTGGTCCCCATGCAGCCTCAGCTGTTCGCCCAGCCCGTTGTGATGGTTCCGGCAGCTGAAGGAGGAAACGTGGCACTTCCAGGAAGCCTCCAGCAGGGCCAGCAGGGGCTCGCGTAGCTTCTTTGTGCTTCCAACGAGTCAGGAGAGTCCCGGGGCGAGAGTGTACTCTAGCTAACCGGCGACCCTAAAGTCGTTAGGAAATGAAAAGGTTCGAATTTTAACAAGTCAAGCGATCGAAGCACGCGGATGAAGCGTGCGACTCGTCTAGCATCTCTCGTCTAGTGAGCGAGGCTCCTTCATCGTCCTCGGGTTATCAACTGCGGGATGAATCGCCACTGCTCAACTGCTGGAGCCCTTGAGGGTGGCCATCAACTCCGTGCCCACGGCGAGTTCACCAGAGTCAGCAAGCGCCTTCAGCTGAGCTCCGAACTTCTCCTCCTCCGGGTCGTTGGGGTTGTAGGCTGTGAACCTGGCATGCTGGTCAGCCCTCATCCTCTCCTTTCATCGGTTCCTACTTGCAGATCTTGCAGCGCCATGAGAGCGGGTCGTTGGGGACGACCTTCTCGAACAGCTTGGTCTGCCACGCTTGGCCGCGCTCGTCCCTCTCCTTCTTGCCCGCACGCTTTCTTGTACGTCAGAGAGAGAGGGGAAAGAGGAAAGCGCCAAACCTGTCCGTCCTCGAGTTTCGTCTTGTGCTCCGTGGCAAAGTCGAGATTTTGAGTCTTCAAGCCTCTCGTGACTTGACTCCACACTCTGCGAGACTCGTAGTACTTCTGCTTGTCTTCAGGGTCGACGTTCTGCAATAAGGTTGGAGGAGAACATGGGTGAGAGCGATCATTACCAGAGGCATGAAGCTCTTCTGCTTCTCAGCTTCAACATCCAAGAAAACATTTGACGCACCCGTCTTCTTATCTAGTTCGAAAACCCTCGTGAGAGACTCAACAATCAAATGAAACCATCTCAACATGGCCCGGAACAATCAAAGAAGCAATCAAGACAATCAAGAGCACGGGGAGTTCCATCATGCTGTAAGACGTTACCTGTAATCTTGATCACACGATCCCAACGACCGTCGATTTTGCAGATTGTGTCTTTGCTGCCGATCCTTGTGACTTTGCCGCTCACTGAATTGTTTTCTCCCTTGAAATAACCCCTGTTCGTGAACGAAGCGGTCCATTGAAAACCCGTTTCCTTGCAAGAAATTTGAACATCCCCCGCGATCTCCATGCGCATGACACCAATCAAGAGCCCTCGAACGTAATAAGAAGGAAAATTGAACGTGTAGGTTTCGCCTGCAAGTACACAAGTTACTCTTACATCTTCAGACGCTGAAGTGTTAAAGTGTATAACCGAGTGCCAGAATATGCAGTGAAGCTTGTCCGTCCATGATAGAAGCAGCACTGTTGCCCAAGAATTTGCTCTTGGGATTAATCGCTGCATTCAGTATCCATCCAGCCTTTCTGTTAACGAAATGGAACGCCGAGATAGGCGGATGATGAGAAACCTAACAATATTTTGTCACGAAGAAAACTCCAGCAGAGATTCACGAGACAGCAATCGCTCGATCTCACCTGCTCCGCGAGGTAATAAGTTGTTCCACCGTCACCATAATCCCATTTGCAGTGAAACACTTCTCCGAGGATCGGATTGTACGGCTTTTTCACACCCTGTTCCACATCATAACGTCATCGACTCCCATGACGAAAGAAAGAAAAAGAAAGAATGAGACGAGAAAGGACAATCCTTTGACTCACCGGTGGCTTGAAATGCCAACCACACAGATACCATCGAGTAACGGTGAGAAAGCGCTCAAGGGGGTCAGATGTTGTAGCAATGCTGCAGAACATTGAGATGAGAAACTCGTGTCTGCTCACAGAACAATAGAGTCCTCACTCTTGAATTAATCTCCCGTGAGCCATGAAGTCTGAGCATTTCTCGAGGAAGGATCTAGGTTCAAGGATGAAAGTCGGAAGAGTGACGCGCGAGAGGTCCATCCCCGTTTTCAGCTGACGAATCATGGCCATCAAGATGCTCTTCGGCTGCTCGTCCAGCTTCTCTTCGTATTCTGGCTCTTCGCCCGCGACAACGTCGGCCTCGCCATCAATGGAAGACATCTCGTGATTTCCAAAGAAAGCTGGGAAAGAAATGACTTAGATTCAAAGATGGCGAAGTGTCTTAGGGAGGGAGGGAGGGAGGGAGGGAGGGAGGGAGGGAGGGAAGGAGGTGAAAGATTCTACAGAATAAAAACCACACGAATCAAATTCTAAAAGGGATGCAAACAATCAAAGAGAGCCAAACACGCAGAAAAACATTCTCAAAGTGAAGGCAACCGCAAATGCCATTAGGTGCTTCAAATCGCTCAGTTCGAAGATGATTACAATACAAGAAATGATGCAGACCATTGACTCTACTACAGAATAATACGAAAGAAAGGTATGATCCTTAAATGGCATCTTCTCTCCAAATTCAATGTAGGCTGCCTCGCATCGATCCTGCTTGGCACTCGCTTGCGGTTGCTCATTTCACATCGCACACGATGAAAGACAGCTTCAACCATCACAAAAGCAAAACGCTTCGAAATGTTTTTCTAAGGTTCTATTCTCAATCATTTTCACTCATGAGAATCAGTTCCAACTGCCCGTGGCGTTCCTCTCTCTGACAGGGAGCCATTGCAGGCAGATCACAACAACAGGTGTCTCATCTTTCTTCTGGCTTATCTGCAAAAACATTTTCGCTTCGCATCTTTCTCTTCACGCTATCTTTGAATAAAAATCTCTCCTCTCTTCATGCAAACAGCATCTCTCACAAATTTCGATCTGTCCAGATCTGCATTCCTCGCTCCCTCTCTTTCTCCGGTTACCACTCATCCCACGATTGTTTTCAACTTCGTCAACATCGCAGCATGACTTGATTTTCATTTCCTTGTTCATCTTGCCCCTTCCACTCCTCCATTTGATCGTCTTTCATTCCCATGGATGCCTCTGCCGCATTCCAGCGCATACTTATGGGGCTATGCGCAACATTTGGAGTTACAGGAGGGTAGGGTAGGTAAATGTTTGGGGTAGGGTAGATGTTGGTTGTGGTGGGGGTATCACGACACTGAGGTAGGGTGGTCGAATGACCCAGATATAGCAGGGTAATCCCAGGTTGATAAGCCCGGTAGCATTGAAATTACCAGGGGTGGGGGTTCCATATCGGGAGGGTAAATATTTTTTTTGAGGATTCAAATGACGGGTAGGGGCACTCTTGCTCTGTGGTGGGGTAATAGAGGAAGTTCAGGAGGAGGGTACTAGTGGGGTAGGAGTCAGGGGTAGGAGACGATAAGGTGGGGTGATGATCCATGGTGGGTAGGGGTGGTAAATGATGTGTATAGGGGTCATCAAAACGATAAAACAGGGGTGGTTGATCACCCTTCCCTGATTGAACAACATACCAAATCAGAATTGGGGTCCTTGTTGCAATGAGGGGTGGGGTACTCAAGAGACGGATTATTAGGGGGTCACGATGCCGCATGGCTATGAGGACAGGGTGGACCCCCACCCCCGTCATTCATGTTGACAACCCCACCCTCATGTGCGAGCCTTTTTCTCCCTACCCCATCGGGCATGACAACCACCACAACCCTACCCTGTAGATTACAATGTTGACAAAGTGCAGTACAGGGGTAGGGTCAGTCTACACTCCTGGAATACGGTGGGGTAGTGGAGGGTAAATCGGTGGGTACTGAAGTTACTGGGGTGGTCTGGAGTCACCCACAAAGTATGAACGGAGGGGTACTCCAGAACTTTTGTGAAGCGGGGGGCGGTTTGAATCTCCGAGAGGGGGGGGGTCCCTGCAAGGGGCGTTGTCATAGTAATCTGCAGGGTAGTGGTAGGAAACGGGAAGTTGTTCGGAGGGGTGGATGAACGAGGGGTAGTGTATGGGGAAAGGTAATTACAAATACGTTCAAAGTGGGGTACAACAAGCCATAGAGGTGGGTAGGGGTAGTGAGATGAAGAGGGGTAGGGTGGGACCGATTGACTACTTAAGTTGGGGACAAGGGAGACCAAATCCCTAACATCGGAGTTGCATGGGTAGGGTAGTAAGTCTGACAGGGTACCAAATAGATAGGGTACATTCAAATTGAGGTATAGATAAATTTATTTGAAGATTCCTATGATAAAACCTATCATATGGTGTCTAGAGAGAATCGTTGTTCATTTTGGGGGTGGGTAGTGACGTGAAGGGGGTACGTGATGATCTGTAATCGGTTTGGGGGCAGGGAACCAGGGGAATGACAAGCTGGGGCTGGACAGGTCTTGTGCAGTGTTCAGAGTAGGTGGGGGTAGTCAAATTAGTCAAATTGTTGCTTCCCAGGGCAAATCTCACCACCGGATGGTAGGGGTCCCCGAAAGTCAGGACAAGTACCACAAGCCTCATATGAGTTTTGCATTCAAAGTAGGGGTGGGTATACTCGGTCGGGGTATATTGACGGGTACTTGTTTAACTTTGAGTAAAAGGTTTCGATGTGGGGAGGGTGTGCAGTTGATTGAAAACTGGGGGTAGGGGGCCGGGGCGTAGCCGATGAAACTTGAACTTAATTCAGTCACTGAGTTCCGGCCCGCCCGGCCGTTGACCGCCGTTACTACCGTGACTGCGCCGGCTGGCCGCGGCCGCAGGCTGCCACCGTGACACTTGCCCCGGCGGCCGCCACCCGGTGACCGGCCGGCGGCCCGCCGGGCCGCGCCGCCGCGCGTCGGACGGTCACCGTGGCAGTGTCCGAATCACCGGTACTGAGTCATGTGACAGTGCACTGGCACCCGGCGGTGATCGGACCGCTGCCGCAGGCTCGCCGAGTCGCGGCCCCGGGGGGCCACGGCGCCCGGGCGGGGCGCGGCCCGCG